TGCTCCTTGGCTCATAGCAGAGGGCTGCTTTGTCCCAAAGGAGGAGAACTCCATCTCACTTGACCAATTTAGAGAAATCTCCCTACTTAGTGTTGAAGGCAAGATATTTTGGGCTGTGATTGCCAGACGGTTTACAACCTTTTTCATGGAAAACAAGTATGTTGACACCTCTGTCCAGAAAGGAGGAATAACAGGCTTTGCTGGGTGTGTCGAACATACAGCAGCTATATCCAAACTGATTGGGGAGGCCAAGAAGGAGAAGAAGGATCTTTCAGTGGTATGGCTTGACCTCGCAAAAGCTTATCCAAGCGTGCCTCATCAACTTATCTACACTGCCCTGGAACATTACCATGTGCCACCTGAGGTAATAGGACTTGTCAAATTACATCTTGGCGGACTATATATGCGCTTTTCCACAAGACATATCACTTCTGACTGGCAGCGACTAGAGAAAGGCATCATGGCTGGATGCTCAGTATCAGTGATTCTTTTTGTAGCAGCCATGAACATTCTACTGACTGATGCAGCAAAAGAATGTAGGGGGCCACTCGCATCTGATGGAACACGCCACCCCCCTTGCAGAGCGTTCATGGACGACATAACAGTAATGACATGCAAGGAAATTGGGATGAGATGGATTCTGTCCCGACTTGAACAACTGGCTACATGGGGCAGATTAACTTTCAAACCCAAGAAATCCAGAAGCCTCATCCTCAAGAAAGGCGGAATATCAGACAACAAGTTTACAATGCAAGGAGAGATGATTCCGACCATCAGTGAGAATCCAATTAAATGCCTTGGAAAATGGTTCGACCACAGTCTCAATGACAAGACCCACACAGCAGATACGCTTCATCAGCTAGCTACCTGGATGAAAGCAGTAGATAGGACACCACTTCCTGGGAAGCTTAAGATCTGGTGCTTCCAGTATGGAATTATTCCTAGGTTGAATTGGCCATTCACCATGTATGACTTCTCCATAACTTCTGTGCAGGCCATGGAAAGGATAGCTGGCAAGTTCCTTCGCAAATGGTTAGGGGTTCCTAAATCTTTCAGCTCTGTCAACCTCTACAGCACTTCATCTCCAGCTGCACTTCCTACTTCCTCCATAGTTGAAGAATTCAAAGTAACGAAAGTGCGAACAGCAATGTTGCTCAGAGACTCGAAAGATCCAACAGCCAGGGCATCTGAAGTCAAACCTCCGGAAAGAAGGAAATGGTCTGCTCAGGATGCTATCAGCAATGCTGAAAGCAGACTGAGACAGAGTGACATCGTAGGTACTGTTGCAGAGGGGCGGAAAGGGCTCGGGAGTTACGGCAGGGTCCCTTGGTCTAAGGCAGATCCAAAAGCAAAAAGGAAGATGGTAACGAGTGAAATAAGGAAAACCGAGGAGGAAGCTAGACTAGTTAAAGCAACTGGAATGGGCAGTCAGGGTGCATGGCTGAGTTGGGAATCTGTAGAGAGCAGAAAGGTGACAGGGAGTGATCTTATGCAGACAGCTGAAACATCACTTGCTTTCTTCCTTAAATCCCTAAGCAACACCCTTCCCACGACTACTAATCTGTCACTCTGGGGCTTGACGGATGATCCAACCTGCTCCCTTTGTAAAGACCAACCAGCTTCTCTAAGGCATATACTGAGCTCCTGTAGTGTAGCCCTAGGAGAGCATCGGTATACTTGGAGACACGACCAAGTCCTGAGAGAAGTAGCCAGGCAAATTGACATCATAATTGCTTCCAAAACTTGCCCACTAGCTAAAGATACAACACCATGGATATCATTCTGTAAAGAAGGTCAGAGCAAAGCACCCCAACAGCAGAGAACTACCATGCTCCCAGGAATCCTCCAAACAACAGCAGACTGGGAAATCATGGTCGATTTGGACAGGAAGTTGGTGTTTCCACAAGATATAGCTATTACGACACTAAGACCAGACATTGTCATTAGATCAAATGACAAAAGGTGTGTTATCTTGGTCGAGCTGACTGTTCCATGGGAGGATAGAATTGAGGTTTCCCATGAGTTGAAACAAACAAAATATGATGACATTATCACAGAAGCAAGACAGAAGGACTGGAAAGCCCACAGCTTCCCTATTGAAGTAGGATGCAGGGGTTTTGCTGGAAAGTCAGTGACTTGGATGCTGAAGTCCCTTGGAATGCCATCTACCAAGCGGAAGCGAGCAAGTATGCAGATTGCAACAGTAGCGGAGAGATGCTCCAGATGGATATGGTTGCGAAGCAGTGCTGCATGGTTGCCCCATTAGTAATTACCATCTCATTTCGACCACCCCTAAGCTTCTCTTTATACATGCATGGTGTCTCATTATGGGTTCCATAATGGGCGGGAGTTAACAGCAGAAGACGCTTACGGATCCACCCGGTCTTGCACCATTCATGCATATTGTTTTCAGAAGCTGCAGCGTGAGTTAGGAATGAATTGGGGTAACAGCGCATCAGCGTTTAATTCAACATATTTAAAGCAATGAATAATAAAGGAGAACATATAATACGCTAACGGCGTAACGTCTTATTTTGTAAAGGCTTCACTTGGGGTTGCGGTGATAAAACGATGTCTATCTCAATATATACTGGTTCAAATTAAATGAAATTAATTGTATGTAGTAAGGGGTATATTTAAAAGAACATGCTGAAACATTGGAAAGTTTTGAATGTTTATCCCTTAATTAGAAATATTTGAACTCAAAAAATGAAACGTAATTTTGTGAATTTTTCACATGGCTTCACTTCATATTTCTTTCAATTTATACTTCTTACAGACTGAATTTTAATCGAAATGATATAGTTTTTTGATAAAAATATAGAATATGATATGCCTTTCAGGAATCAAAAAAGAATAATTCACCTTTCAAACGATTTAATGTTTAATTGATCAAAATATATATCTTGTTGGTACGAAATTCTGCCTGTCGACACTTTTTTTGCATAAATATAAGCGTTAAGTTAGCATTGTTATATTATGACGTCATCGCACAGAATCTGTTTGTCTTTTCCAAAATGGTGAATTTAAATATTGTGAAAATTTGAGAAAGATCCGTTGGGAAATGAAAAAGTTATCTTCATTTTTCGTTTAAAATTAAAATCACTTTTCTTCAAAATGTTACAGTCGACACCCGGTTTTAGCATAGAAAGTCGCATAATACGGCTTGCGTGATTCTCATTTAAAAAGTCCCAAATCAGTTATTTGGAATTCTGATAGGCAAAATATTTCATGGACATACGTGTTCAACATAAGACGAAAAATTGTAGAAAAATATGATTTTGCTGTCGAGATATTGCGGTTTTAAAAGTAAGTACGTATTAAAAATGCAGTAAAATGCCGCGATGTACAGTATCTGACGTCGTATCAAGAAGGATCCATTGTCTGATATTTAATTGTGTAACGTTCTATGAAGTCGGTCAATGTAGTTACATAAAGCTTTGGGTTTAGTAATATAATATATTATATTTAATTAAGAATAATATAAAAAATATAAGGTATTTATGATCATTATCTTGATATACTCAAGAGTCTCTATTTTAGGTTCAATACTTTAATTGTTTAGATTTTACTCTATTGAAATACCAGTGTCATATAGAATACAGAGTGACACTATAACATCACCGCACTATGTTGATGTCATGTAGTCACTGCATGGCTTCCACTGCATGTACTGTGAGAGTCCCACTACGCTGAATAATACACATGCATTGTCTCAGATATATGTCTTCTAAGTCACACTAAGAACATCACGATAACGTTGATATCAAAAGCATCTCAATCAGTCTCTGTATAAGCACATAGGCAACAACACAACACATAAACACCTCACAGGGCTGCTGGGTTCGGGTTTGTTTAGACCCTTTCCAAACTACGATCACCAGTTGTTGAAATGATGTGGAACAACAGCTTTCAATAACATTTATACTTAGTGGAAATACCTGAGTTGAGTAATACGTTCAATACTTGACCAATCAGATAATATGTACAGTGAAATCAAAATTACAAATTACAATTATAACATGAGCTGTCCAGCATTTTGGACTCACTCCAAAATACAATAATACAATATGAATAACACAAGCTGTTCGATTGCAGTGACAATTATTGTTTCTTAAGGTTGATTATAACCTGAACAAACTGCAAAATAATGTGAAAGCAGGCCCAAATTATGACAAATTGATATTACTGGCATCCGAAAGAGTATAGAAATAATTACATTTATAATCATTTTAATTATTTATATGGTATGAGGTTAATATTTAATTATCATTTTACAGTACTGGGTGGGTCAAAAAGTAGTACACTTTATATCGAGTCTCTCTTTAGTGCAAAAACAGTATTACGATATCTAATAGATTGATAGCACAATCAAAATGATTAATTATTTTTGATATAATGGAGATTTGTGCACCGTGGACTTGCTGGCGAATCGGTTCGCAGCCAGATTTCAATGTTATGAATGGGTGTTAAAAACAGTTTTCCCTAGCGGATAATGGCAGAAATCTCAATTTTGAAATGTAAAGGAAGATGTTCAAATTTATTCGAATAGCATGAAATACCTATAGCATTTACTTTGCAATTAATTTATTGTATCTATCCTTTGGTATGGAATATATAAAAATGCACTACTTTTTGACCCACCCTGTATATACTAAAAGGATGGTCAGTATGGTGTATGTTTGCAAGGATTAATACACAAATGATAGGCTTAATGTGTGCATAGAGGTGATAACAGCATGTGTTTTTGTGTGAAAAAGTCGTTGGACGTGGGATAAAACAACTTTTTATGGAAATACACCATTTTAACAACAAATGACAAAATTGTGATACATCGAACATTTTTGAAAGGGACATATGATTATTTCAAAAACAAATCAATCAAAAAACATTAGTACGGGTCAAGGGTAGTGAACATACATGTAGATGTTGTTTAACGTTGGTAAGATCAATGTGCATCGTGTTCAATTGCCGTCACACTCACATGGCTTTAGCTCCATATGACTATGCGCTTAATATATCTTTCAATACATTCGTGTATCATTGGGTATACTAACAAGACTGTAACGAAAAGCGAAGTATTCGCTCAATGACACTAATATTGAGGTACTACAACTACTACACAGAGGTGGGTAAATATTTATCGAAAATTAACAACTAATATTATTATTTTGTTGATTTGTCGTTAACTTACAAAGCATTACTTGCATCAATTAAACAACGATTTATTTCTGTTTTATTTCGTATGTTCATTTGTATCTGATTGGTTAAAGGGAGTGGGTTCTATTAATAATACTTAATACTGTACTTTTACTAAATTATAAATATAATATAATTATATTTGTGTAAACATATTCAGGATTCCATTTTTTGTCCAATCAAGTGGAATTTTAAAAACATCGGTTGAACTTTTCAATTTAAACGGTCTAAGGACAGCTAATATTGATGTACATGCTATTCAAAGTGTTTGTTTGTTTGTTTATCTTTATTTCCTTCTCGAAGAAGAGTTTTTTTTTTTAAATAATCATACAAGCAGTTATTTACAAACAATTATTTACAAAACAAATATATTTACATTAGTAATTTGACTATGTTTTACCGCATGCATACTTTGCCACCAAGATGATTATTTGTTCACATATATTTTCATTTAACTGAATGTCAGTATTTGAACCTAGGAGAGTTTCAACTAAAACTTCTTCATCTCCATTCAATAATTGACAGGATGAGCTCACGTCAAATGCATTCGTAATATTATCAAAAAGACGATCTCGTTCCATCATTAGTCCTGAACATTCCAAAAGGGCATGTTTTGTGACATCTCTGTATTCACCCTGGCATAATGTACATTTAACAGTGACTAGGTGATCTTCAATTAGTGCAAGTTGAAGAAGACTTGCCAAAGGCCACAATAAAGCTGGGTATTGTTTTCCTAGCACATAATGTATACTCGGTTCTAAATTTTTGTGGATATTTGCAAATCTTTTGAGCCGAAAATCTTCGTGAACCTGACTTTGATACAACTGATTTGTCGACTTTTGGATGTTACATTTAATTCTAAATTTCCATATACTTATCTTTGGGTACTTTTTGACTTTTGACTTTTTGGTACTTTCAAAGTCTTCCAATAAATACGGGTATTTACTCAAAATGTTTTTAATATCTGGAATGAAACCATCAGATTTCCTTGAACATGACATGGAATATAACAAAAACTTCAAACTCCAACTTTATAAAAAAAAATTAAACTAAACACTTACAAACAAACAAACAAACAAACAGACAAAAACAATTATTTAATTATTTTGTAGAACAGGGAACACCATACCTGTAGTTTATTTTCTAATTTCAGAAATGGATGAACAAAACCAGACCGATGAAGTTGTCAAGGCAACAACAACTTTACTATGGCGACAGAAGATGAAAACTTATTTTGATTGTGTTGACATTGCACACACTGGCTACATCACAAAATCGCACTACGAACAGTTAATCAATTTTATTAAGGCAAAATATCATGGACTGCATCAACAAGCATACGACATGGTTGATCGCATCTTTATCCAAATTCTATGGGGAGAAGTAGCCACCAGAGGGGGCGATATCAGCAATAATCGGAAAGTGACCTTGACCGAATTCACCCGCAACGCCGCAGTGAATTTAAAACCAGAAAATATTGAAGTTTTCACAAAGGTTCTGGATTATATATCCGCATCTATATACCAGTTAATCGATACGGATAGAGACAAAGAGTTATCAGTCGATGAATTTAGCGAATTCTTTATATTGTTCGGAATTCCAGAGGAGTTCTCCCTGAATGCATTTGAATCCATTGATAAGAATGACAGCGGGGATATCGACAAAGAGGAGTTCATGAAAGCATTTCGTGACTTCTGGGTTGGCCAAAAGCCCGGATGTGGGACATTCTTTTTAGGCAGATTATTCTGACCCCCCCCCCCCCTCTCAAGAACTGACAGATTAGAGAAAAAGCCCGGATGTGGGACATTCTTTTTAGGCAGATTATTCTGACCCCCCCCCTCTCAAGAACTGACAGATGAGAGAACCGACTATGAAAACACATCATTTTCTTCTTACTAGCAATATCAATTAAAATGATATTTACAAATCTTGATTGGACATTGTTTCAACAGACTCAACATTTAGTCTAGTAGTTTAAAGTACTGATTTAACATACATGCTTACTAGAATTTATAATACAATTTTAAAATAAAATACACAATCCATACAGGTTTAACTGTAGCCTACACCGATGGACATTCCTAAAGAAAAAGCTCAAATAGATAAGGCGATGCTATATGGAATGCGATGTACTGCTTGCGGTAGCGGGCCAATTTTCAAGAAAGACGATGGGCGGGGTTGAAGCCCTGGACTCCGTGCATTGTGGGCTGCTTATCATTCCTCAAAGGTGTAAATAAACAGAAATTAGTGATTTCTCTAAAATATGTTATTATATTTTGATCGTTTTGAATACATGACCTCGCCATAAAACAGAGATCCATAAGCAAAAGAATGGAAAAAGAAATACGATTCAATAAAATAAAACTATTTCTGATTGTATCTAGTCTTGCATTGAACAATTCTATCCCGTTCCATTCTCTTTCCTTCAAAACCTGTGTAAAAGGGGTGGTTTCAATAAAGTTTGTATTTTTCTTATTACATTTTCGAGTTAGATATATTCTTACAATCACACCTTACATTACCATAATCATTAAAACAATATAAAAACATGGTTGAACATGATGATACAAAATATGCAATTGCAATGTATAAAGATATCTAAGCACAAACGCAAAAGATAAAAGACTAAAAACCTTAAAGGCTCCGGCCAGAGTTTGAAAATACTGTTTAACCATCTTAATATAATTTGTCATGACTTAAAAAGGTGTATTGGAAATTTTCTGAAAAATTGACTTTTGAAAAAATGTTATTAGTATTTTAATTTTTGAATATTTGAATTTTCCGTCATTTTAAAAAAAAATTAAATTTATTGACCATCAAATACAACACCCTACACTATATCGGGTGTCCCAAAAATGAGACACTTTTTTGACATGTTATTTTGAATTTCTTTGTAGTCACAGAATATTTACTTGATCTTTTTATATTTTTACAACTTGCTAGTGATACTCTTAGGCTACTTTGTGCAAGTTTCCACTGAATTTTTTAATCAGTTGCCAAGATAATACTTGTCAAAAAGTAACAAACAACTCCCCTCCATACGTTTAGCAACTTTAGCTCCCCCATTGAACTACGTGTTAAAGCCTCTTTACGTTTGAATTTTTATTTACTTAACCGGCGATGAAATAACTTATAATATTAATGGAAACGTAACTTGACTTTATTTCCAATACCTCCAAATTTTCGCAATTTTTTTCCTCAATTACAATAGGCCGAAAATTGATGATAAATTTGATGAATTTTTGAAAATCGTCATTCCCTTGTAATCCAATTGGAAATGGAGGGTTCGGGGCATATCAGAAATTGGGATATCTTTTCAGTAAAAGATTCAGCAAAAAAATATTTTTGCATAGAAAATTGAATTGTCTAACTTTTTTGTACGCTAAGTATTTAGTTTATTTGATGAATACTAAAGTTACAGAGCTTCAAAGTCATTTTTGAAAATATTTTTTCGTCTCCTGTGTTATTTCAATGGGAGAGGTTTTTTGAAAAACAATTTTGACTTTAAAACCCTATAACTTTGTTGAACCAATTTTTTGTTAAATAAAGTTAGCAAATTCAATTGCCTGTCTAACTCGTATTTTTGCAAGGACTCGGATGGATGGATATACTGTCACATGACTTGCGGCAAACCTACCATTTCCCATTGGTTAACATGGGAATGTCGATTTTCAAAATTTATCAAATCTACCATCAATTTTCGACTTATTGTAATGGAGGAAAAAATGAGAAAATTTGGAGTAATTGGAAGTAAAGTCAAATTACGTTTCCATCAATAGTATAAGTATTTTCATAGCAGGTTAAGTAAATAAAAATTCAAAAGTAAAGAGGCTTTAACACGTATATTCAATGGGGGAGCTTAGGTTGCCAAACTTATGGAGGGGAGTGTACATACGCTTTTTCTATACTAAAAGTTACCCTACGAAAAGGACGTGTGTCAAAGCCCAAGTATTCTTGGCTACCCATCTATTCTGACTCTTGCCGAAGTATTCTGACCTGACCCAAGTATTCTGAGTTGACTTATTTTTTCGAATACACTCGATAGATGTCCATGTTAGTTTTTGTGGTTGGATTTATTTTATTAAAAAGGTGGCTCCTGTTATTCTGGTAGAGTTTTATATTTTTACTTCATTATGTTATGCGTAACGTTACGTCATATTACGGCTTCACCACTGGTTGTTATTTCTATTTTTATATAAGTAATTTCAGGTTCCGACTTCCATATGTTTTTATAAAAGGCAGTTTCATATCATATATAATGGTCACTATGAATAGAATATCTTATTAATCGTGAATTGTTACAATAACATTTTAAAGGTAGGTGTGTGATGTTGTTCTTTGTGTGTTAACCAGAATTATATTGGGAATTCTTTTTCTTTACTATGACTGATTCTTATCAATAATTGAGCCTGGCCATAGGAAAACCGGTCTTATCAGAAAAATTAAAATTGTGCTACAGAGCCAAAAATGTGCCCAAGCTTAAGATGAAAATATGCTAAATTCAAATCCGACTTTTTGGTCCATATAGTATTATGCAAGGGAAAATTGTTAAAACACAAGCCATGGCTCATTTGAAAGGTCTTCTTGTGCTTTTTAAGATAAACAAAAAATCAGAATATTGAAAATATTTGTGATAAGACCCCTTTTCCTGTGGCCTGGCTCAATTGCTAAAACTAAATCACCAATAAATTGATAAAGCTATCTCGTAATGTGAGTCATGCAATTAAAGCACAATACAAGTTAATAGTTTCAATGATATTTTCTTTATTACATATACATGTAACATATGGACATAATATTTACATTTTCTAGATTATACAATCAGTACTGTACATGTACATCATACGAGCTGCTTTTATTTCCATGTTGATAGAGAAAACCTTTGGTGCTCCTATTAATATCAACGTGTTATCTTGAAAGTATACAATACGTGTATATTTATTATTTAATAAATTTCAAATATACACACCCTATGGATTTAAAGTAGCACAATTTATTCAGAATATGTAGCATTTTTACCGTCCGATTATTTATCTCATAGTAATGTCAATAGGCGATTATTTCCCATTCTACAAACACAAGAAAAAAATTGAAGTATTGATATTTACAGAACAGAAAGAGTGGGTCTAGCTAATTCTTTAAATAATGTCAGGAATGAAAAGAATCAGAAATACAGATACTGACCCTTTAAGTATAAAATACAATGATAATAAAATAGGCGAGTATACTATGTATCACTTTTATTACAATATATCATACATGGTTACACAATATCTTATAATATACAGGGTGGGCCAAAAACACCCCTAGCCAATATTATCTTTTAACAGAAACACCAACAATGATATATCATTTTAAAGATTTAATTTAATTCGCAATAAAATGATATATAATAGAATAATTTTCAACAACCCTGGCTTGAAATATAACCAATTACACACCCGGTGATCGTACAAAATGGATGGACGGGGATTAGGCGATTTCTGCAGAAAACTCAAAAAATTTGGAAGATTTATTTTTTCAAGATAAAATTTACAACTGAATTGCCAAATGAATAGGCGCAGTGCATGGCAAAATATGTTAGGCCATCTAGTATTTTTTTGAACTGATACCCTTCTTAGGTATGAGATCTATTAAAAAAGGTGCATCATCAACAACGTGCAAAAGTTTTTCCTATAGATCGGGCAACAATGGTCTACACGACCTGTAATAAATAGGTATAAGGGACGTTATTATCACAATACTAATGACATTGCTTACTTTTTAAAGTTAATTTCCATGCGTTATACAAAAAATAATCGAAATAAATTAATATTGGATGGAGGTGGGATAAAGTGTATATAAGACATGATAAGACATGCTACTTGAATTTATTCTTATCACTCCAAATTCCCATTTTTCATTCTCCAGAGATACAATATCCAGTTTCTTACTTGCCTACTGAGTTTAGTTTTTTCAAATACACGAGTTCTTGTGAATTTGTTCCATCGTAAAGACATATAAATCTAGGGTCCTGAAACGTTTTAGCTTATATTATAAGCCGAGAGCTCTTGAGAAAATCTGGATTTACATTACATTTGTTGTCATATTATTGATATATATGTAAATGCTCCATACAGGTGAGAGTGTTCCCGGGAACAAGTTGATGTACTGTGTTATCATTTCGTACAGTGTAATTCATACATTGGATTACGTCATGAATAAATAATCAGTTTAGAACTCAAATATTGTTATGTAAAGTTGACATGGTGTCTAGATGTGTTTGTAAATTGGATTTACAACGATACTAGGAGTATTTGTCTCTTAACAACAGTGATGGCCTTTCGGCTAGAGCCTCCGCAAGCGTTTGATGTTACGCAACCCAGAGAATGGAGACACTGGAGGTCGAGATTCGAACGTTTTCAATCAGCTGCAAATTTGAAAGTTGGATTGGAAAATGGCGTCGCTAGTGTTGATTTGATTGACGATACGCAAGTGATAAATACATTGCTTTATTGCATGGGACCGAAAGCGGAGACAATATATAAGACATTTGTGTTCACTGAAGCAGAGAACAAGAAATCGTTCACGGTTGTAATGGATAAATTCGACAGATACTTCACGCCAAAGGTGAATGTGATTGAAGAACAGAAAACATTTCATCACATGAAACAGTCGTCTGAGGAGACTGTAGATAGTTTCATACGTAAGTTATACGATCAAGCCGACATATGCTCTTTTGATAATACTGAACGTGAACTTTTGCACCAGTTTGTTAACGGCATGAACAATAAAGATTTATCAGAAAAGGTAAAGATAATGGACTAGAGCAAATTAACATTTGCCAAGGTGATTGAAATGGCGCGGATCAGAGAGCACGTCGCACCCGTGCATCTGAAGTCGGAAACCCCGCAGAATCTGGATGACGTCACCAGGTCTAGGAGGTCGAAAAGGTCAACAACACAGTCCAAGGGACAATCACAATCAGCTGCATTCAAGTGTAAGAAGTGTGCGTTAACACACAAGCCTAGGGAGTGTGGTGCATATGGTAAAACATGTTTACAGTGTGGTGGCATGAACCACTACAAACGTTGTTGCAACAAACGCTACCAAAAGTCAATGGATAAGCGCAAAAACATTCATGAAATACTTGATTGTGATAGTGATCAACATGAAGATGACGATTATTACCAGGCATTCATTGGCGAGATTGTCTGTGACGATATGTATCCGGTTGGTGATATTCCTAAGCCGAGATTCCAGCATGATGATGAGCCTACACAAGATTTTCGTGTTGACGAGGTCGGTGTGATTGACATCAACAACAAGGAACCACCATGGGTGAGTGAACTCAGTGTAAATGGTAAACCAATCATGTTCAAACTGGACACAGGTGCCGATGTTACTGTTATGCCCCAATGTGTGTTTGAGTCTTTTGATAAGCCCCCTGTCCTAAAACCTTCCAAGGTCCAACTTGAAAGTCCAGGTGGTAATGTAGCCTGTGTTGGTAAGTTT